GGTCACTGGCAGGTTTGTGTGAGCTGGGACAGGCTGCCCAGACCCATCCCCACCCCGGGACCCCCTGGTCCCTGTACCAGCTCCCCAGCTGCTGCCTCCCCACACCAGTGCCTGCCCACAGGAGCCTCGTTCCAGGGCTGGTTTAGCCTCCTGGACTCTTTCTTTCTAGTCCGGCTTAATTTAGATCTTATCTTACTCATTTAAATACTTCTTTTGGTGTTTGAGGATGGTACTAAGTGAACAATATAATCACAAGAAATATAAACACATCCAGGTCAGCTCTTGGATGGGCTCTGGTGTTTGATGGCCGATATCCTGTAGTGAGCTGGGAACAAACCATCTATTATACAACACGTTGCCTTTTGTGTTTATTTCCTCTGGACTTGAGCTCAGTTTTATTTTTTTTCATCTTTAGCTGAGAAAGAATCCTCAGCAAGAGTCACTGTGCATCGCTGGAGAGAAGAAAGGCAAGATATTTCAATGCAGCCTGTTGGCCATCCTCTCTTGGCCTGGTTGTTGGGGCAGTGTGTGCAGTCGGCATTGCTGCGGTGGAGATGTCACCAGCTGCAGAATGACCCTCCCTGGGGTGAGATTTCCATGTTTTGCTTTATGCAGAAAACCATGATCTTGTTCCAGTTGTCCTCGTCAGCACCTTCTCCCGCCCTGGGCGTTAGCAGTGCTGGTGATGACAGTTTGGGGCTACACCCCAGCCCGGGGGGCTCTGGCAGCAGCACAGGGGTACGGGGGGGTATCCTGTGGCCGGAGTCAGTGCTCGTCCCTCTGTGGTTTGTCTTTCCCCACTGAACTCTTTTGCTTCCTGAGAAACATGTCTGGACTGAGCGTTGCCCGGCCAGAGCCCCCTGCTCCTGCCCCTCAGGAGGAAGCACAATCGGCTTCCAGGAAAAATGTTGGGGCTTCTGTTTCTTGAAAACCATCATTCCCTTTGCTCTGACCCAAAAGGTTTCCTGTTGGGTGGAAAACTGTCCCAGTGCCTCAGCTTGTTCTTTCCTCCCTGTGTCTGTAACCTGTTGATCTCTTTCACCCGCTGCCACGCTGCCCTGAGCTGGGGCAGGTCCCCTGAGCTCTCCCTGGCTGACACCGTGCCGTTAGGGCCGGTGGTTGATCAGATTTCCATAACTTTGATTTCCTCTGTGATCCGTGTTTCCCGTCCACCCCCGCAGCAGAGGACGGGGCAGCTCCTGGGCACTCACGGCATCACATGCTCTGCGAGCCCTGAACCAG